GTTGGGTCGGCAGCCCGGCTATGGGGCTAAGCGCACGCTGACACGCAGCCTTAGCGTCGACCGAAGGATTAATGTACACCATCACCACAATCACATGGGAGTGCTCCCTAGGGATGTAGTATTGCTGATAGCTAATAGTTCAATGTCTCTGCTACAGAATTTTTCCTTAACAGTTATGTGTCCGGGATTGCACCATCTGCTATTAAAGTACATCGCCAAACCTCCACCTTTCCTCTTACCACAGTCAGCTGTGCTTCGATCTGCCCGAATTAGTCTCCTTGTAAGGAGACCACTGAATCTGGAGTGTTGTTGTTCAGCCAGGTCTCGGTAAAGCATAGCAGGCTGCTCTCCCTATACTCACGTTGCAGTCTCATTAGCGCTGTTAGCTCATCCATCTTTTTGGAGAGGGGCCGCACATTACCCATAACGACAGATGGTAAACATGGGTTATACTGTACCTCCGTTTCATCTCCCAGCGCTTTATGCCGGCTCTGCGGCCCCGGATTTTACACTGTATTTCCAAGAGTGTTACGAGTCTGCCATAACAAGACTGGATAAGCACATACACTGATGCGACTGTTAGTTCAATGATTTGATAAATGTAAATAAAATAAATTGACATGATTCTCCCTGGAATTTATATGTATTCTATTTTAGGGTTTAACATCCACTGGACTTTAAAAACAGACTAATATTCTGTTAGCCTAAAATGAAAAATACCACTTACCAGCCAGTATACTGTGGACAGGTGTAGCAATATTAATGTCTTGCAGGTGCTCCAGGGTCTCTGTGTGGAAAAGGCGGAGTGTGGAACCAGAGCTGAAGGCGATCCAGATGCCCACCCCAGCCACCACCATGTGGGACACCACCATGCCCTCTTCCTGGTGAGCCTCCAGCTGCCTCTGGATGGGGAAGACAGAGCAGGGTGACGGGACTTAGTGTAGGCAGCACTTACTGTGCATTCACAATAAATTCAGCCTGAGGCAGGATGTCCACTGCAAAACCTCAGATAGATGAATTAAAAAAAGATGCAAAGACTTTTCAGCTGTAGATAAATTGAAGTAGAACACCACATTTACCAGCACAAATGAACACCAAACCTTTGAGAACAGGAACACATCTACAAACTGCATTCTGACTTTTTAAATCTGGACAGACTTTTATGACTAAAGACATCTGATTATTTTTCTTGCCTAATTGGCGCATACAAATATAAATATAGCCTTATATAGGACCTATAAGGTCTCTCATAGGCTATGTGATTCTCTTTTAGCATCAACATTAGTATAAATACATTTTCTAGTTCATTTAGTACAATAACATGGAACACCTGAACACTAACAGAAATGGCACTCTGCAAAGGAGCACAACAACACACAGTACTAATACATTAGCTACATTTTAAACCCAGGCTAAACATTACAGATACTACAGGGAGAATCTGTGGCTGTTCCATGTTGCATGTGATTACAAACTATTTGAAAAGTGTAAGACACAGATCAACCCACAGAAAGTCGGAGTCTGTTTAGACTGCAGCAGCCCATGCACTGTCAGTAGTTATTATGTTTGTGACCCTGTGATTATCCTTTACCATTGAAATGAAGAATTGCTTTTCCACACAAGTCAACACTGAATGTGATACAATGGGGACTTTTTGGCCAAATGCCAGATGTTTATTCAGGGTTGATGTCAATATTTCTCAACATCATGAGGCATTCAGGTGCAGTCAAAACTGGAAGCACAAGGAGGGAATTTTTTACTGGTGGTTTTCCCGGCTTGTCCAGTCAACATGTCAAAGTGTCCTTAAGCAAGACACTAAATCCCCAGTTGCATCTGGTGATGTCACTGGTGTGGGGTGTGAATGGCCAAGTAGTGTAAAAGCGCTTTGAGTGTTCTGTAAAGCGTAGAAAAGCGCTATATAAGTATAACATGTTTTTCTTCTTGGGAAATGTCTATAAATAAAAACTGACATATATATCCACACTGAAAAGATACTACTTGTCATGGCCTAATTCAATCTCAACCGTTTCACCTTAGTTTCCCTCATAATGTGTCACTTTCCATCTTTTCAAAAAGTAAATCGCATCTCTGCTGAATCGTATACATATACTTAGGATGCAGTCCTCTTTTATTCACTAAAAATAGCCTAAGCTTCAAGTAAACAAAAAATCCTCTCCCAACTATGTATATACTTCTTATCCTGGCCTGACCTATTCTTTAAAGAAACAGATTTTCCCACAGACTTGACAAACAGATAGGAGGATGATAAACACTGTAATCTTTTTCACTAGAGCTTCTTTCCTGTGTGATTTACACAGACAGATTGGAAGGGATAAGATAAGAAGGCATGTACCAAGGGTTATTTATGCCACAAACACACACACAATGATCTGCTAAGCTGCTCAGTACATGATGTTGGTATATGGTATGATGTTGGTATATTGACATGGTATGTAACAGTAACCTAACAATGCCAGAGCTGGGTTACACACCTCCACAGAATGTGTGTGGGTGCTGATGATGAAGACCTGTCCACCTGATGATGCCCAGAGGTGCTCCTCCACAGCCAACATTGCCTTGACTGGGAGAATTCCCAGCTTCAGCACTTTGGGCTTATCACAGCTCCACAAACCATCTGTAAAAACAAACACAATACTGACCGTTCATGATTTCATAAAAAAATTACTTTAATAAAACTGAAACATTGTAAATGCAATCTGTATACAAACACAGAATACATACAGTACATAGTATATTCAGCAAGGATCTAAAATCTATCTGAATCTGGCAGTTGCAGGAAGATGTAAATGATGAAGCATATGATACATCAAACCAATCTCTTTTATTAGTATTATTCCATTTTGCTTTGCAATTTAAACCTCTAGCAATTATTTATGTAATTGTTAAAAACTTGTTTATACTGTACATGAACAATACAGTAACAGCCACTTCATCTTTCTAAATGCCATCTGTAAAGGTCAGCTGCATTTATAATTTTATAGTAGAGTGGTCATTGATGGGTTTCACAGCCTTCGCTATTAATATAGATAGGCTGTGAGGCATTAGTCAGAGCTGTGCTCAATCCCACACACACCTCCTACACACTCTGTTCTACATGTGCCTGGGCACCTACAGTGCCAGCGCTAACGCTATGAAACCCCCCCATGCAGCAATGTTATAATTAACAACACATAACATTTCAGCAACCATTCTTAACCACTTGTTAAAAATTCAGTGTGGTCAGATAAACAAATGCATCAGATGTATCAGTAAAAATGGCCTTTTTTATTCATACCTTCTAGCTAGAAGAGCCTTGTGCTAAATAGGAAGTTAATTTCCTCCAGATACCACATTCCCCAAATGAATCTAGGCCAGGAAGTAAATGAGGCCTCACCAATAATGTTAAGAGAAGGCACAAAAGTGGCTATTGAAGGGAGGGGAGCCATGCAGGCAGAAATGTTCTCTCAGAGCTACAGTAATGACTGGGGAAGTGAGGATAATCTCTCACTAAAGGAGCTAGGTAGGATTAGCATGAAAGGAATGCCCTGTGCTTATTATCAGAATAATCATAGTATAAGGTGAATGGCTCTGACAACAAAAAAGAAATGAGAAAGGATAGGAGCAATGGAAGACAAAAACTTGACAGCAGTGCCAGCTTGCATGCTTATGTAAATCCTCTCTACAGAAGCAGGTCTACCCACATTGCTCACTCCTCATTAAACTGTAGCATTCCTTCATGTCAGTGTCAGCTGCAATGAGCTTCTCATCACGGTGTATGTGTGTCACCAGTAGCATATAAAATCACAGTGAACGCTGATTAAACAAACAAATGATTTTTTTTTAAATTTGAAAACCTTGCAACAAACAACAAGCAGTGTAAATATCCTCAACAGGAAAAAGTAGATGCACAATACAAAATGGCTGAAGAGAGTTTATGTCCTGTCTATCTGTGACGTGTGACCTTTGCCGAATCATTGCCTCCCTCTTTCTCCATCTTTCACACCATCAGTCACAAAGGAAGCAGCAAGCATGGCAGAATGACACTGACTGGCCAGCTTCAGACACACTGCATCAACATTTCCATGCAGTCAGCACGGAGCGCTGACTGCTGAAGTCATATTGCTGTCTGTTCACTGTGAGGGTCCTCTTTGAACCGCTGACATTTTAACATTAAAGGATATAAGATAATCATTTCTGCTCATTCTGCTTGGCTCCTTCTGTACAATGTAAACTGGGAGTCTGCTTTAAATGCTAAGGGAGCACAGGCGGAGCCAGTCAATTGAGCAGCATTACTACAGGGATGCAGGATACAGTCTCCCTACCAAACTATGCAGGATGAGTCACCATTTTTGCATCAAGCATCATGTCCCAGGGACAGAGCTGTTGATGGATAGAAATCTGACAAATCAGTCTCAGAGTGTCTAGGGCCAGGATTTCCTTATGGGAACTGATTGGATACAGTGGTGATGACTAATTAAATGCAGCTGCTGAAACACCTGAAACATTCAGACACAGCAAAGGCCAGCACTGGCAAACGCTGTTTAATAATTGCTCTACAGGTGAGATAAAGACATGCCCATCAAAACAAGAAGTGATCTTTAAACAGTGCATTCATACTGCATAGTTATTCCTGGATACTGTAGCTTGATTGTATGAGGAGTTAGAATAGTTTTTCTCCTGTGACTCTGTTCTCAGGCTATCATCCATATTCTTTCTTTCTCTTTTGCATACACAAGTCTAGCAGACCTTAACAGAGCAACAAAGCTAGAAAGGTTTTTTCTCAGAGAGTTTGGACGACTAATTTGAGTCAGATGATTGCATGAAAATGAATGAATATGTGTGAGTGAGATTAATAAAACAAGCCTCTAGCTATAGGACTAACACAGAGTAGTGATACAAATTCTTATATTTGGCAAGATCCAGTTTTCTTGTGTACCAGAATATGTACTTATCTTTAACCAGATTATGTGATATAGTAAAAAAAAGACACATTGGACAAAATCTGAAAAACTGAATGAACAAAGCTGACAATATGGAAGCCTCTGAGAACAGGGCAGCCTAGCTCCTCTACTGTATCTGTACACCTATGGGAGGGGAGACATTATATAGGTCACTGCTAACCGATTGGCTTCTCCCACACAACCAAGCAAATGGAAACAGAACCTCATCACAGAGCACAGGAGACCCCTGACCCTGAGCTACACAGCTCACCTCTGACTTACACACTAATGGCAACCCAGTGGCTCAAGAGAAAAAGAAAATAGCAATGGAGCAATGGGTCACAAGACAACATCTCTGAGTGTGTTCTACCCAGAACAACTCTTTGCATTCAGAGTTGCAGAATGTTTAGCTGTGTCAATTGATCATCAATTTAAGCATTTTAAGGTATGATAATTTATGCTTGTAGTTGGAAAAAGTCACCAGAAACAGTCGCCTTTGGTAGGTAAAACCAACATAAGTGTATTAAAAGTCACATAAATCTAACAAAGTCATCAAGTCAGCAACAGCGGCCAATTATGGTTAAGAGATACAACATTCAGGGCTAGTGCCTAAATATCTACGTAAACACTGCCAGCCTACACACTAAGAAAAAACTAATTAACTTAGTGAATGCATTTTTGCTTTGCACAATAACATGACTGAAACTCCTAACTGCCCTAATTATAGTTATTTAAAAATATCAACAAACATTACAGAGGCCGAATTCTGAGAATACAACCTAAGAAATACATAAATTCACAGGTCCATTCCTTTTTCTACACATACATATACACACACACACACACACACACACACACACCTTGTGACCTGGAGTAGATTGCCACAGAGCCGCTGACCAGGCCGGTGTACAGACAGTATTTCTTATAGACAAGGCTGGTCACGGTGGACTTGTCTGGGGTAAAGAAATGCTGCAGACGCACTTTCTTGGACCGCTGGCTGCTCTTATACACAATGATGCTAAACAGGAGAGGAGATAAAGATTATAATCAAACTTAATATAGGTGTTACTTTGATAAACACTCCTATATGCAAATTACTAATAAGATTCAGTTAAAAAATGACTGACTTCAGTAAATGCTTTGATGTTTACTAGGCTGTATTATCTGTTCATGAGGGTGAAAAGGGCAGGAAGCAAGTCATTTTGAACAGATAAAATGCAGGCCAGCTAAAGGCGGTGAGAGACTGGCAAATGAGAGCAGATTTAGGAAATCAGCACACAGTTCCTCAGGAGACAGCCAACACTACAAATCTTGCACCATGGTCAGAAACATACTGGACTGTGCATTTCATTGAGCTTACAGTTCCCTGGGAGGATGTGGGAGCAACAGCTTATGAAAGGAAACAGATCCAATGTAAAGCACTAACCACAGAGGCAGAGGGGCATGGCTGGAAAGCTACAGTCTGTTCTTTTTTAGGTGAGTTAATAATAAAAGGGTAGAGCCTAAGGCATGCAGTGAGGGACTTGGAGTGCTGCATGCTCAAATGAATATATTTGTATTCAGATGGATGATGGGCTGTGATAGGGTAATGCTGTATGTGAAACCACTGTATGCATGTTTTAGGCTAGGTTAGGGTTGGAGAATTGTATCACTTAATAATAGGGCCTTAAAAATTTGACAGCATGGCCTGATATCCCCTTGCTGGGGCCAAATAATGGTTAAATTTCATTTAACTGGAATACTTGAGCTTCCATAAGAATTCTCACCCATTCTTTGGCATATTTGTGTATTATCAAGTTACATATGACACTTGATAACATCTGTTCTAAATGATAACAAAAGTTCTAACTTTAAGTAATTCCTAAAACCCAATTAAATTTACCTATTTACCTATCCAAACATATTTAATAGCTGAAGCGTGATGATTGACGTCTCACCAGAAAAAAAGGCACTGCACCAAAAAATAAATCTTTCAAAATGCACTGGGGGAGCTCTATTTTGATGATTACATCAAATCTACAGTATATATTATTTGTGTACTCACTTTCTCTGAAGCTGCTTTGCACAACTGTACTTTATTTGGAGACTTCTACAATTACCAGAATGCATTCTGACAACTTGATAAAGTTCAGTGAAAAATAAGAGGCGTTTATTATACTGCTGTCTCAGCCCCAAACTCTTCACCCTGTACACCCATGACTGTGTCTCCAACCATGACAACACCATCATCATTAAATATGCTGATGACACCACCATTCTGGGCCTCAAGTGGGGAGACGAGCCGGTCTCAGAAGCTTGGTGAACGACATTCTTGTTTATGGAGAGGAGAATGACCTCATCCTCAATATAAACAAGAAACATAGAAATAATAGTAGACTTCAGGAAGAACCCCTCCCCTCTGCTGTCTCTGACCATCAAAGTGACTGAGGTGGAGAGGGCTGACAGCCACAAGTTCCTGGGCCTGCAGGTGACATCTGACCTGAGCTGGTCACTGAACACAGCTGCCACCGTGAAGAAAGCCCAGCAGTGGCTATACTTCATCAGGCGGCTCAGAAAAGCTGGGTTGAACCATCACCCTCTCACCCAGGCTTATAGAGGACTGGTAGAGAGCATCCTCACTACTGGCATCACAGTCTGGTATGGTAACACCACACTGGCAGAGAGGAAGGCTCTTCAGAGGGTCATAAATACTGCAGAGAGGATCACTGGGACTGAACTGCCTGCTATGGACACACTGTACACACAGTGCTGTCGTAAAAGGGCAGAAATAATAATACAGAAATGTTCCACAAGGTATTTTTGTAAGAGCGTCTCATCAACAGTGTCCTCTTGTGGGACCTGAGTAATAGCAGGAAATTCTCTACCAAGCAATGGAAACAGGCCTGAATATAAACTGTGTTTTAGTATGTTATAACCCCTCACTACCTCACCAAGCGTAATGACATATCGAACTCCACCATGTGAATTACTAAGTGCGATGTTTGAAGTTCACTGGGGAAAATACTATTACCTTATTTTTGTGTATTGCGGTTTTAATGCTTTGTTGCCTTCATGTAATTTTTTTTATTTTAAGACTAAGTGTTCTTTCTGGCTTTTGACTCCTTACCTGACTCCAAAGGAGAGCTGCACAAGAATTCATATATGCCTAGACTGTCTGTTTATGCATAAATGGCAAATAAAAATCTTGACTTTACTTATTATGGCGTTCTTGTTCTTCAATCCTAAGAGATTCCCCAAAACTGATTTTTATCATTTAAGGATAGAAAATGAAAGACTGTCTCTTTTTAAAATGTAATGTTGCTGGGTCTTTTACAGGAAATAAAAAATTACAAACACACTTCTATGAGAACACCGTGTAATGATCTGTACCTGCCCTCTTCCATGCCCAGACAGACACTGGGAGTATCACTGGCCTTCCCTGGAGGAACGGGGTTGTTTTCAGGGACCTTCTCACCATTCTCCTGAGGTTTCTCAGCTGGGACATAGGCCATGCAGAAGATACGGGACTCTACATTGAAACACTCAGTCACCTTAGGGCGGGAGTTCTGCATAGCCACTATGGCTATCTGGCCCATCTGGCCGGTGCAACTTGCAACCTGTACAGAGATAAAGATAATTTAACCCACCTGTTATGTTCATTTCTCAGGAACAGCAGTGATGTTCCTGGGTTAATTTTACCATTACTAACCATTTCAATCACTATTTAGTGCAATGGTGTTCTTTACCTCTCACAGATTATGGTTCAATGAGGATAATGCACTCGTTTTTCATAAAAAATGCATGTTAAAATTTTTTTTAATGTACATTGGAAAGACCTACATATAAAATACAATGTTTTTGCATGGCATTGATTTTTAAAAATGTTATTTTACATTTTGAAATCTTTTCTTTTTATGAAGTGATGTTGATAAATTAACATGAGACATGTCTTCTGTTCAGGGTCAAACTGACCCGAACAGTATCTTTGTAATATAAACATGCAGGGGGAGGTTGCAAATATGTGAAATGAATAATGTTCATTTTATATGTTGATTACACCTATAACACCAAGCAGAAGACGTTTCATACCAATAAAATACTTTTAACTATTGTTTGTAGATTTTTGTAACTTTACAATGGGTCAATTTGACCCATGACATAACAGGAGGTTCAAACAAATGTGATGTTATTTAGATAAAAATGATTATTTATTTGCAACAACACAAAAATCTGAGGGAAAAAAAATCTGATGACAAGAGATGCTATGGTAGGATACCCAGGGGGTCCCCACTGTTGACACACGAGACATAAAAAAGCCAGATTGGAGTTTGCCAAGACTTACTTGAGGAAGCTACAGTCCTTCTGGGAGGATGTGCTATGGACAGATGAGACTAAAATAGAGCTTTTTGGTTGAGCACATGATTCTACTGTTTTCAGAAAATGAAAATAACCACTGGAAACCTTGAAAAATAATTCCTGTTTTGTGTGATTTTTGAAATAAACAACACAATGCTTCCTTTCCAAAAGATAAAGGAAAAATGTCTCACCCAGACACATCCATGGCCAATGGCAGGAGAGTCTGCTGTGCTCTCTGTGTTGATGTGGGGCTCTGGGTTATGAAGAGCACACTCCACCTGCCACAGAACAGGATGACACAAGAGAGGGTTATAAAGAAATAGGTCAGATGTGGACATACATTCAGTCACCTTATAGGAATTTAAATAAAGCAACAGTCAGTAGTGTCCAGTCAGTGTTTATTAGTGTGAAGGCAAAGACTCTATGGGTGGTTTCACAGTAGGGACTGGGCTAAAAACATCCACAGTACTAGGACTGTCTCCATTGTCCTCACAGAACAGAAATATATGTCACCCACTTGATGGCTCCAGTAGTTGTTTCTTCTTTCTTGGCACATTGCAAAGCAACTACATGCATACTGCCACCCACTGTATCAGACTGTACATACACAAGTGTGCTGGGGCATAGAATGATGTTACTAACATGAAAGCAGACCTGTGGGGAGAGGGAAGGGGGAGCGATCGTGCTCAGGCATGGGACGAACAAATCATAAATGCAGACGAAAACACTCTGTGATTCAGCAGTATTACAGTAACCAACTTAAATTAACTAACATAGGCCTTGCTTGAAACCTGTCACTCTTCTACCCTGTCATTACTGAGGGACTGAGGTGGGGTCTGGTAGAAGCAGAGGGCCTGTACGGGGATTAAATCTTCAACCTTGGTGCTACTAGTAGCGTAGTCTAACTAACTGAGCTAACTGGGCCCAGACAGCCTTACACTAACTGTTTTTTGCCCTGGTTGGTCAGTCAGTGCTGACTACGCATGTTTGCATAGTGTCATGTGACTTTGTTCCACACTTCAGTGTGATGAGATGTTTCCAGCCAAAAAATAAACATCTAAAAATACAGAATCATGAAAAAGCTCCTTTCCCAATTTGCTTAATTTCTGGTTTGCCAGTGGAGAAAGGATGTCTCCTAGATCTGCACTTTTCTTTGCCACAGCTGATCAGACTGTGCTGATAAATTTGAAACATGTGCAACATAGAGGGGGAAGTATGACATTGGGAGACCTGTGCTTCCACATAATATCAACAAAGACATACAGTGGCAAGAAAAAAGTATGTGAACCTTTTGGAATTTCATGGATTTCTGCATTAATTTGTCATAAAATGTGATCTGATCTTCATCTAAGTCAAGAGTACTGATGAATATAATGTGCCTAATATTACAACACAAAAAAATTCTGATCTTTCATGTCTTTATTGAGAACAACCATAAAAACTTCATAGTGCTAGTGGAAAATGTATGTGAACCCTTGAGTTAATGACCTCAAAAAGCTAATTGGAGTCAGGTGTTAGCATACCTGGAGTCTTGTTAATAAAATGAGTTTGGAAGTGTGGACTAGAGCTACTTTGACAGATAAAAACACTCAAACCTTTTGAGTTTGCTCCACACAAGAAGAATATGCTTATGTGAGCCATGCCTTGCCAAAAAGAGCTCTCAGAAGATCTACGATCAAAAATTGTTGATTTACATGAAGCTGGAAAGGCTTTCAAAGTGATTTCAAAGACTTTAGAAATTCACCAGTCTACAGTTAGGCAAATGATCTACAAATGGAGACACGCTGGGACTGTGGCTACTCTACCAAGAAGTGGGCGCCCAGTCAAAATGACCCCAAGAGCACAATAAGGACTCATCAATGAGGTAAAGAAACAACCTCGAGTGACAGCCAAAGATTTGAAGGCATCATTGGAACTGCATAACATCCATGTTCATGAGTCTACAGTACGTAAAACATTGAACAAGCAGGGTGTTTATGGCGGGACACCATGAAGGAAGCCGCTGCTTACTAAAAAAAACATTGTTGCAATTTTTGGGAAAGAGCATATTGAAACTCCACAGTGGTATTGGCAAAACATTTTGTGGACTGATGAAACTAAGATTGAACTATTTGGAAAGAACATGCAGCACTACATCTGGCGTAAACAAGAGCACTGCGTATCATGATGAAAACATCATCCCAACCGTAAAGTATGGTAGAGCTGTAAAGCAGGGTGTTACACTGCTCCAAAACGGTATGTTATACTGAGAGCTTTCTCTACTTCAGCTAATTCCTTATTACTGAAATGTCATCTATTGTCTGTACAAATACAGTCAAAATGACCCCAAGAGCACAATAAGGACTCATCAATGAGGTAAAGAAACAACCTCGAGTGACAGCCAAAGATTTGAAGGCATCATTGGAACTGCATAACATCCATTTTCATGAGTCTACAGTACGTAAAACATTGAACAAGCAGGGTGTTTATGGCGGGACACCATGAAGGAAGCCGCTGCTTACTAAAAAAAACATTGTTGCAATTTTTGGGAAAGAGCATATTGAAACTCCACAGTGGTATTGGCGGGGGCCATGCAACTTGGCATCGAACAGGAAGTATTGGCTGCCCAGGCAAATGAACCGAGCCCCTCCATATGCCCCCCAGGTTGGTTGTTCCTGCCTGCGGCCGTAAGACCCCCAGTAATCCAATGGTGTCATGCTTCTCGATTCTCCTGCCACCCGGGGGTGGACTGGACCTGCTATGTCATACAACGATGCTTCTGGTGGCCTACACTAGTGTCCCACAAGGCTCCATTCTGGCTCCTCTGCACTTTTCCTTATATTTGTCTCCACTTGCCGCTATCATATCTAGGCATAATTTTTCCTTCCATTTTTATGCTGACGATTTTCAAATTTACATGCCTTTGGTACAACCTGAATCAGGCTCGTTTGCTTCACTGCAGAACTGTGTGTGCAAGGTTAAGATTTGGTAAGCTCAAAATCTCTTCTATTTAAATGAAGAGAAAACTGAATACATTCTTATTAGCTCTGCCCCAGCTGTGGTCACATCCAACTTAGGCACTTCTGTAAAAAATTTGGGTGTCATATTTGATACAAATTTTAACTTTGATAAGCAGATTAGGTCTGTGGTAAAAACTAGCTTTTACCAACTGAGATTGTAGGCCAAGGTAAAACCATTCCTGTCTCCTGCGGATATAGAGAAAGCCATTCACACTTTTGTAACCTCCCGGCTTGACTACTGTAACGCCCTGTATGCTGGTTTGCCCCAGTCAGCCTTGGCTAGGCTCCAACTGGTGCAAAATGCGGCCGCCCGTCTGCTCACAAACACTCGTCGGCAGGCCCATATCACCCCAGTCCTGCTGTCTCTCCACTGGTTGCCCGTAAAATGGAGAGTGGAGTTTAAGATCTTGCTCTATGTTTTTAAAGCCATACACGGTCTTGCCCTTTTGTACTTATCGGACCTCTTGTCCAAATATGTCCCTCGCAGAACTTTACAGTCATCTGCTCATCTCGCCCTCATTGTTCCTCCAGCACACTATAAGAAATGGGGAGGTCGCGCTTTTGCCGTGCATGGCCCTAGATTGTGGAACTCCTTACCCTTAGATATACGCTCTATAATTGAGCCGGTAGCCTTCAAGTCAGCTCTAAAAACGTACCTTTTCAAACAAGCTTTTAATGTTTAGATTGTTTATTGGTCCTGTATGACCACTATCTTTGAGCCCCTTTTGTGATAGTAGGCCGGGTAGAAATTGTGCTATGTGAGTGCCTGTGTGTTTCTTATGTTTCTCTTTTAGCCTTTGGTTGTTTTGAACTGTTATTTTTCGATGTAGCACTTTGTGCTCTCGAGCTGAAAAGTGCTTTACAAATAAATTTTATTATTATTATTTATTATTATTATGAAAGATAAGAATTTTTTTGTTGTTTTTGTAGGCAAATTATATTTGTCAGTACTCTTGTGTTGGCTGAAGATCAGATCACATTTTATGACAAAATAATGCAGAAAACCATGAAATTCCAAAAGGTTCACATACTTTTTCCTGCCACTGTATCTAGGTTACATTTGTCACATGCGGCTGCAATCACTCTTCAAAACACCATGGACCATACAAGGACTGTGTCATGATCCTGTCCCGTCAGTTTCCGGTCTCATGCTTTTATTTTGACACAACGTCCTGGTTTCGCTATATCTCAGCTACGGACTTTTTACTTTAATCAGGACTCAATTGTTTATACCTGTTTTCACCCCGATATAAGCAGCTTTCCCTCCACTGGAAAGCTGCCAGATTGTTCTAACTAATGTCAGACTTTCCAGCTTTTTTTCTTGTGCCTCTTTTTCCTGTTTTGACCCCGGATTGCCATTGACCACCAAGTACTGCCTTGCCCTTCTGATTTGGACAGTTTTCTGTGCTTGGACTAACCGGACTGTCCTCTCTGACATCTTGGTTTTGGATTCCTTGGCTGTGTGAGCTTGCTGGTACTGACCCTGGATTGTTAATATGGACTTGGATTATGTTTTCGGACTACTGCACTGTATGCTCTTACCTGTGCTCATTAAAGCTAAAGCTAGCTAACCACTCTCATCTCGCACTATAATTGAGTTGCCCCCGGTGACATCATCGCCAGCTTTAGGCGTCAATCCTGACAGACTGAGTCCACAACCTTGGCGTTACTAGCACTATTAGAGTTATTACCACAACCTAATTTAACTTTCCATGTGTAAAATGCTCTGATTTCCACAAAATCTCCCTCCAAAGGTCTGTACAGGGATAAAACTCACAACCTTAGTGTTATGAGCACCATACTCTAACCAAATGAGCTGACTAGCCCAGGTCTACCAAACCTTTGCCCTCTGTTGTGAAAGTTATAGCAAAGGAAAAAGGACTCACCTGGAACTCCTGCAGCTTTGACATGACCACAGGCATTTGACAAAGCAAGAGAGGGTGTTTCTGCTTTTTGATCTGATTCCCATCATCCTCTGCAAAGAACCAGCCCTGCAGATTGTCCTCCTCTGATATAACACACACACACACACACACACACACACACACACACAGACACGTGGCACAAGTCACTAATGTACATCATTGTGTTCTTAAACCACAAGTTATCTGTTTTAACACTGTAAAACTAAAAACACTGTATTACTCCTAATCATTTAAAATAAATTTTGGTACAGCTTTGATTTTCTCATTTGATTTGGTCATTATATATAGTTAATCTAACAACTACTAGCCAATAATATTTGATAGAATAGTAGTCATTTAGGTAGTCATAGGTAATGGACTGAAGCAACAGGCATATGTACCAGTACTGTAAATCAATAAAATAAACTGTTATGCTATACAAATGCATGCCTGCACAATCAGAATGGAAAAACAACTATGTGACTCAGACAGTGGGGGTGAACAGTCAGACAGTGTACTGTACCTAGAGCCAGCTTAGCCATCTGCAAGTTACTGATCCATGACTGCTTGATGGCTGGGCTGAGAGTATTGAACACTGCACTGAAGTAAGTGGGTTTACCCGACCTGAAAAGAGAGACAACAAACAAAGACAAATGAGGAGAAAGATAAAAGACAGTTTCAACCTTAATGCATCATCACAAATATATGATCAATGTATTTCAGGAGAAATCTTCTGAATCGTCACTGAATGTCCGTAAAACTAAAGAACTGATTATGGACTTCAGGAAACACGGACAGGATCATGCTCCGCTCATCATAAATGGAGAATGTGTGGAATCTGTCTCCACCATCAGATTCCTTGGCATACAGATCTCAGCTGATATCTCCTGGTCCCCTAACATCAAGGCTATAGTGAAGAAAGCTCAGCAGCGGCTGCATTTCTTGCGGGTCCTCTGGAAAAACAACCTGGACAAGAAGTTGTTGCTGGCTTTCTATCATGCCTCTGTGGAGAGCGTTCTCACGTACTGTTTGGGTGTGTGGTATACGGGCTCCACAGCTGAGTACAGGAAAACTGTACAGAGGGTGATAAACACAGCACAAAAAATCATTGGCTGTCCTTTGCCCTCTCTGGACAACATAGCTAGGTCCCGCTGTCTCAGCAGAATCAAGGCCATCACAGGAGACCCCTCACACCCTGCTCATCATCTCTTTGACCTGCTGCCATCTGGACGGTGCTTCAGGTCAATAAAATCTTATACCACCAGACTAACAAATAGCTTCTTCCCCTGGGCCATTCAAATTGCAAATTGCAAATAAACATTAAATAACACTACCTCTTTTAGATGTGCAATATTACTGTGCAATTTCACTGTGCACTTTATATGGTAAAGGCATATGGCTGGCGTTAGATGTGTAGATATCTTGTAAATATCGTATTTGTTTTCTAAACTGTGTACTTGGACATGTGGGCATCTTATTTTATTTTTATCTTTTGTGCTCTTGTTTATCTTGTATTGTGAACAGTTGTTGGGGTGCTTTTACAGTTTCGTTGTACCTTGTTGTACAATGACAATAAAGTTCTATTCTATTTTCCCTTAACATTGTTTCAAAACTACCTCTGTCATGTCCAACTGAAAGGTGTAGGAATTTAGAACAAAAACAAAAAGAGAAGCTCTGCACTTAAAAAAGAAAGATGTGTCATGGTGGGAAAGACTGTCAGCTTAATATGGCCAAAACCATCATAAAAATGTGTAAACTGATGCATCTGCAAACCCGCAGAGGCAGCCAGTAAGGCATCTACCTCAAGCAAGTGACTGAGTGACTGTTTGTTTAATTCTGTAGCAATGGGGGCTGATTTTATTTATATTTAGCAGGAGAAGCATATGTGTTATTTACATGGTTGTAATTCACAGTTGAGAATTGTACTGTCGTTTTCTAATTTCATATGTATGGTTACACGTATTTTATGTTTATTCAAAGGTTTTTCACCTATTGTTACTGCTACTACAATTAGAGCTACTACTGCTGTTACTACCACTCCTATTTAAGACACTAAACTGTTAATCAAAATAAAGAAGAGGAAAAGGAAGCACCGCATAGTTCTTGAGTAAAATCCAGCTAAAATTTTCATGTAGGTGCATCATCCTCTACAAGATGGTTAATAGCACAGGACTGAATAAACAACTTGTCAGCAGATACAACTCGAGAACATCACATCTTTTAGTGTCTTTTAAAATCTCCATGTGAAAACTCATGAAAATTACAGCCGAGGAGACACGAGTCTGTCTATTCGATGCTCACTGACTAGACAGACTGACAGAAATGTGATAGAAATCAATGTCAATTATCTGTTCTGTCAGCAGCTCATGTAGGCTTTATGTGTGTGCGTGGTTGGATCCTATTTGAAAAGCATTGGTCCTGTCAGTGGCTGATGGTAAGAAGTGTTATGTTTTGTGTGTTTTGTCACTGAGGGTTCAGGAAGGAATGAGGAATGTGGAAACACAGCTGTGTTTCCAAACATACTCATACATAATCTCACCAGCTACATGCCACAGGGATTAGGAATGGAGTGAGGAAGTGAACAAAAGAGGGAGGCAAAGACAGTTATGGTTCCAGAGAGAGAGAGAGAGAGAAAGCCAAAATAAGGTGTACTCTTGCGGGACCGTGTGCAAACTATAATAGTGTGTGTAAATGTGTGACATGACATTCTGTTCAGCAACAGTTGCAGCACTGGGTAGACTTTGGTTAGGAACACTCATGAAGATTTTTTGGCTGAGTTTACAACTAGTGGAGAAACTTCTTATTCTAATATCAGTGTGTGTTCAGCAAGTCGATGGCTGGATTGACAGATGGGTACTTTATTCTCCCCTATGGGGAAACATCTGTATCTCCACACAGATGACACAATCAGCATAAACATAAAAGACATTATGAAATCTAAGACTAATACGCCATCCTAAAGCTAAAGGGCACATACGGAGGGTAGGACAACATAAGGAGAAAGCACGGTAAAACAGGATAAAGACAAATATAGACACTTTGGGGGTTGAGGGCTCAGACTAGAGACTATAAAGTGGTCCATGTGGTGTCTGTATGAATGAGCTTTTACAGTACGTGTGTAAAAAAAAAAAACAGACTTGTCTTGTTTGCCAGGCAGCTGGAGTTGGATCCTACACCGGTCAGCTGCCCTGATCTCCTCCTCCTTCTTCAGAATCAGCCTCTGGAGACCTGATACCCAGTCCTGGGCCACTGTGGGATTTACATTCTATATACACAAGGGGGAAAGAAACAAGTGTTATGAGATGTGGTAACAGTAACACAAACTACAACCTCAAAATACATAACACACAGGTGAATTAATCACAAACGCAGAGTAGTCTCAAGACAAACTGAACCTCTTAATTGCATTTCATTGTAGTGGTGTATATCTATGTTTTGTCAGATATCAGATCTTCTACTTACTTGCTGCTTATTTAAACCTAAAATTAAGAACAATTCAAGTACCAAGATTGTGTATGTAAGAGAAAGTAATATGGGTTAATGGAAAATTTGCCTTCAATATAAAAGGCTATCTCTAAGAATAACACTGCAAGAGACTGAGGCTACCAATTGTATCAAAACATCTCATTTGCTTATACAAAGTGTTGGTATAAATTTGGCATTATATTTAGACAGGTTAACATTTTAATATACATTTCTAAACAGAATGCTACACAACATTCAGTCTACAGCTATATTTAGAGTACTGTCAGTTGTCAGGTTTGCCCGGCTGCACCTACTTTCTCACTCCCCTCACTCTGTTTTCTCTCCCTTACCCTGATTACGCTATCCTTTACACCTGCTTACTTCCAGCTGCACCTGATTAGTTTCTCCCTATTTAGTCCCTGCACTTCGTTCACTCCCCTGCCAGTTCTTTCTAGCTTTTCTCAGGCCAGTTTGTTCCCCGTCGTTCTTTGCTCTGTATTAGTGTATTTGTTTTTGTTTCCTTCTCTCCAGCTGCTTAGATTACTTTCCCTCTTTGCCTCAGTCGCTCCTTCGGACCACGGACCTCCTCCACTCTGCTTCCTCACCACCCTGCAGGTCGATGCACAGTCTACCACTCACCGTATGTACTGTTTCTGTTTTTCTTCAGTTGCATCCAACCCGACCAGTCCAGGAGTGAGTCCCAGTGTCCGCAGCCCGGTCCTCTTTGCATCATCTCCATCATTGACTGTGTACACTCCTAAGCTCGACACCCGGTCCCTGTATTATTCATCTGCTCATTTCTTGTCACTTATACATCACTGTAAATAAACTACACTGTCTGCACCGAAGTCAGCCACCTGGGTCCGTCTATTTTTGTGACTCGCTCACTGTTGTGTTCGAGCAGTCATAACATCAGTAACCTTTAAGATGTGAAATTAGTGCTGAGAAAATGCTTGGGGTGTACCGTTCACTCATCTCAGTCCTGCTTTTTCCCTTTCCTCCTTCCCTCTCTCTAATCAACCTCTCCCTCCCTCTGGGTCTGGGACATGTCTTTGTAAAAGCATCTCTGTTTCTTTGCCTCCCCCACTCCACTTCTGACAGACCTACCAGCACAGCAGGAGCACAGACTCACACACTCATGCTGCGCTGTGCAAACTAACTAAACTAAATCTTAACAACACTGACAGGCCTGTGTGTGCATGTGTGGTCATAAGACATGACAGGCTTGAATGACGCAAAACACGATTTAAGAGATTCCTAATCTCCCAAGGACAAATCACCTATGTTGGGACATTCCACAGCTAAACCATTATCTGCCAACAGACAACCCTGTTCTTATAGAGATCTGAGGGGAAACACATTAACAAATCACACGATTGCATTTCAGAAAATGTCCCAGCTTTTATAGAAATGGGTTTTGTATACTCAGTCCCTTTCAGACATGATTAACTGATGCTTATTGAGATGTAACATAAAGAAAATGTATTTTTCAATGGATTGCAATTAAACCTTAAATACAGTGAAGACGTAAAATGTACTGAATTCAAGTGACACGACTTTAACTTGGTGCCCATGTTTAAAGCACTCACACAGTACCTGGTAGTTTCCTTTGAGACTGTTTATCATGCTTGAGATCTGGTTGACCAGGCTGAGGTCGTGGATTAGATTCTGCAGATCTTGGTACAACTGACTGGGGCCTGTGTACAGCTTGTCTACACAGAAAACACAAGGGCAAAATGTGTTAAAAACAGCACTTTCTGTTTGTCAAAATCAGCTGACCACAACTTCAAATAGAAAAGTTACTGCAGCCATTAGATCAAATTACTCAGACAACAAATACAAGCCTTTTTCAAATTAAAACCTAACTGTAAACATGTCAGTACATAGAGTACAAGCTCTTCACTGCATTAACCACTGGTGAACAAAGAGTTAAAGTGCATCAGAGGCTTGGGTGCTGAAATGCCTTCAGCTCTGTTTGTTTCTGGCATTCTCTGCTTTCTCTTCTCCCTTTCCTTCCACCTCCTCCTCTTCTTCTACAATAGACATCAAGTCTGCTTGGTGATGCGGCTCCATGGCAACCCAGTCCAGTCCTCTTATAAAGGGCTTGCTGACTGGGAATTCGGAGGGGAAAATTTACCCCTGTTTGTTCATCACCAAATGCCACATTTGTAGGTGGTCTCTGAGAGAATGACTAAAATGTCAGAATCCAAGTTTGTATACAGGACGCTGCTCACAACCTCTGAAGCTCATTGTCTTTCTTACACGAGTGAGCACCCCTGCACAAAAAAAAAAAGCACACACAAAACACTGTGGGCCTACTCAACATGTTTATACCATCCTGTGCTGTATATTATCTGTATTTAACAATGCAAATAATAAGAAACAAGCAAGAACAGAATCTTGTCATCACTGAACAGACTATTCCCAAAGACTAGACTGGCAGTGTGCAGCCCCCTATCAACCTCCTGAATGGCTCTTTGTGAGAGTGCCAAAAACCAAGAGGTTTCTAACAAAACAGGCATGGAAGCATCTTAACCATCTTCAGAAGCAGGCCAGTCATTTCAGCAATTAGTCACTTCCTAAAAACAAGTAATATCTACAACTTATCTAGTGGCTGTAGAAATGTAACTCTAAGCGACCAGTCTGCACAGTGGCCTTATTGCTATGCAGCGGAGAGAAGACATGAATTAAGCAGAGAGACACGCAAAGAGATGACATCATATGTTGGAGTCTTTAGGGTGGTGGAATAGGGGAAATATATGGGAGCTGACATATTTACAGCAGGAGACAGAGCAATGAGTTATCTGCTTTAACCTCACACACTAAATGGATTAACACAATAGCATGAGCATTACTATACCGGTACTTAATTTTACATACAATTGTCCAAATACAGTGTACATATTGGTAGAAATGTATCATGGATATTAAGAGCAATTAAACATGGCTAATAGAATGAATGCTACAAAGCAAAACCATCACAGGATTTATTAAGAAATCAATGTGACACTGCCACACCTGACAGCTCAGCATTCTAGCCCAGCACCACTGGTAACTGAAAGAGAGAATCTTTTACCTCAACCTGAATACATACAGTATAACCTTTGACAGACCCACAATAATATAATGTCAAAGCACTCACCAGTCCAGCAATGTACACAAATACATGCACACATAAAATCTACAGCAGTTCCTAGAATAAGAACTGCAATGCTGTGACCACAAAATCATATATTATTATTGTTATGTCACTTGCTTTCTGATCTTGGCCTGTTAAAGTGTCTGAGCAGCTGTCTGTGACACGGATAACCCAGTGGAAAGACTGAGATCAATGGGCTCTGCAGCCAACAGAGGATTGCGGAAGGAAAAAAATGGCTGGATGGTCTGTGTAGGACTGACACCATTTTAGAAATGTCTATAAATCTTCAGCAAGAAACAAATATCTATTTATCCCATGCATTTATAATGTAGACTATTTCTGACAATTTATTAAAAGGCTGCAAGTCAATTTGTTTAATCAATGCTGTGCATAATACTGGTAATTATAGCCCTGGAGAAAGCTTTCCATTAAAAGCCCTTGAAAACTGCTAAGCCCCAGGTTACATAGAGTGTAGCACAAACAAAGATGTTCACTTTTAGGCACCAATGACAAATGTGTTAACTAGTCATCAAGCACAAGTGGATAACTGACCAGCAGTTTTTGGCACCTATCCCAGCATCTCAAATCCCCATAGTCTACACAGGGATCAGTCCTCATCTACAGTAAGCTACTTGGCACTCTCTAATCAACTCAGCTAAGTGAACTCTGTTACCTTTTCTATCAGACTTTATGGCCCCAGTTTATCACAGGAGAGAGAAGCACCAGCACAGACAGACAGCTGATTCAAAATAACACTGTGTGACACTGTGGTTCATACTTGGTTTAGCGTTGATGACCACCTTCTCCCCAGAATGGGGTGCTTGGTAGCGGCTGCTGTTGGCCACGTCCTCACTGGATCCAAACTCTAGCACCTCCACGAAGCTCAAAGGCACGCTCCACTTTAGAAGGAACTTCTGGTCAAGTGGGGCGTTGCCACTGCCGCTCCCACTGCCATCATGACATCTGGACAAAGCAGAAGGAGATGTGACAATGTGGCTATGGTTTCTGTTGTTAACATCTTGTTTGTGGAGATGTGTGTATCTTCTGCTCAGAGGATTGATGAGGCACAGGAACATGTAAAGGTGTGAAAGGAAAAATTAACACCAGTGTCAGTGGAGGGTGCCATGTTTGAACGATGAGAGAAGGTAAATGTCACTCATTAAGAAGATTCAATTATTGTCAGTGCACATTATCCCGTGGTGGTAGGTGGCAAGCAGAATATTACAATTACAGAACAGCAACTGAGAAGCCAAGGGACTTTAACTTGGTTAAAGCGCAAGCCACTGTGGGTGCCTATGAGTCCAAATCTAGAGTGTGGTTAAAGGTCACCGCAAGAACACCAGTAAAACAGAGTGCTTAACATCTTCACTTTCAGACAGATTTTTACTGGTGGGAAATCCTAGTTGTATGAAACATTCCATTACAGCAGGCAAAATGAGCCATAAAAACTAAAGCACAGCAGAAATATACACAGGACAAATGGTTTCTTAAATGGTAAGGAGATTACATGATGCTGCGCCCAAGGATAGGAGAAGGTGCATATTAAAGGAGAGATTAAGAACAGGTCTGGTTTGTGGTCACTCTTACTGGATATTGGGTGTGGCACACATGAGCACATCATTGAGCAGGAAGAGGCGTCGCTCCTTGGTTTTGATGATTTCACCACGTTCATTGAAGACCGTCTCCACCATGTCATCTGAGCGGATCAGGTAGCGGCTGCCATTGCTCAGAAGCTAAGAGACAGGAATGACAGGTCAGTGTCAAACAATGTACAGCAGGAGTTTGGATCTGGCAAGTTTTATTATCAATACAAAGCTCAATGAAGGAATGTAGACTGTTTTATTCACTAGTCTGCTTGGTAACCTCTGTCACGTATGATCATGTTCTTCTTTTCCCCATGCTTTCTGACACTCTCTTCTAATGTGAAACCAGCCATTATGGATAAAAGCATATAATACATGGCTATCAATGACTGAACAATTAAAGGCTATAAGGAACTACCCAGATGCCAGAGTGGGTGGCTGCAGATAGACAAATAATTATACCTTTGGGAAAGCTGGTGTTGTGTGCACATGTTGTGCTAAACCATGCCTTAAAAATACAGTATTCAGTCAGGAGAATTCTTGGTAGAAATGTGAGGCTCAAGTGCTTGATGGCTGCCTACACTGGGACAAAGAGAAATGCCATGGCATAAGCTAAAAGCATCATACAAAAATATGGATGCTGACTGAGCAATGAGTATCTCATCAACTCGTACCACTTTCTCAACTAGCACATCAAAAATAAACACTAAAAAACTGAACAAAAACATAAGGGGGTGACTGTGGGTCAGTGGGTAGAATGGTCGTCTCCCAGCCGGAGGGTTGGAGGTTCGAATCATGGTGCCTGCAGACCACATGTCGAAGTGTCCTTGGGCAAGGCACTGAACCCCCAAATTGCCCCCGATGGTTAGAGCCATCGGTGTGAGTTGGCGCCACAGATAGCTGCCATCGGTTCTGTACTGGAAACAAATTCCTTGTGTGTGTAGCATACTTGGCTAAATAAAGGTGATTATTATGCATCAAGAATGCAGGCACCACCCAGTAATGGCTACAGCACCATGAGTCAAACTACAATCATGTCTGCCAGGGTGCACAAGAGAAAGACCTTGTTGAGGTAGCGTTCATTCATGGCCTTTGCAATGTGACGGATCTCACAGCGCTGGTCAGCTTCCCTTTTCTTTTCGTTGAGCTTCTCTGCCAGTGTCTCCAGTTCAGTGAGGGCCATCTGCAGTGGCAGACGGTCTGCATGACCCACTGGTGTGTTCTTCAGCATGTCCTGATGAGGATACACAGGGCAGTCATGCATTAGTCAGTCATTCACACTGATAACCAATGTCTCCGTTTCATTATTGGAATAAAAAAAATCTGCACCTGAAGAGTTATTCCTAAATCTACACAACTGTGTCCAGTGGCATTTAGTTGAAGCACGTTCTCTTCTATATTAATTTTTCTACATTTATATAGCACGCATCCTCATGACACATGAAGATTTAATAATGTACATAATACAGAAAGGTTATAATGTAGAATGGGTGTAGAAAACTCAAGCTATTTTGATTGGTATTTGTAGTTATACTGCTATTATACATGTTTACAATTAGAAAAGAAAGCAGCGTCCCACATCTGACATTTTCTGCAGTAAAGCAAATATACCAGGGTTAATGAAAGCAGGATTAAAAGAGATGTGAGGAAACCATTTCCCTTCAGAGCATTCCCTTGGACTCCACTTTGAAAAACAAAGTGCATGGCATATGTGTGTATAGCACTCCCTCTGCTGGTCAATGTATATACCACAGTCTTCTGAATAGTGAAATAGCAAAATTTAAAGGGGCTGGGTCACACAGCAGTACCCTGGTCACCTCACAACAAGAAGCTCTGGGTTATAACCTGTTGGCTGACTGGAGCTGTTCTGGTTTGCATAGTTCATAACTGTATGGGTTTCCTCCCACAGTACAAAGACATGCAGGTTAGACTGTCTGTAAGCATAAATGACAGTGCAAATGGCTGTCTGAGTCTTTGTGTTGGCCCTGGGACAGACTGGCCACTTGTTCAGGGTGTACCCTGCCTCTCGCCTAATGTCAAAGATAAGCAGGTATAGCTAATGGATGGATGGATGAACAGACGCTTAAAATAGTTAATTATACCTGAAGAAGAAGAATGAATTGTGGAAATCTCTGGATAGGTTTCATCATCAGGCCATACAAAGTCATTCTGTCACTGCTGGTCTCTTGACGATGCTGTAGTTTAGAGGATAGAATATGGCAGTGTAGTTTTTGAATGCAAGTCACAGAGGAGCAGGATTGAAAAAGCATGCTAGAGGTGCACAGAGTAAGACTTGAATCTATGAACTTTTGAGTATACAGTACTTATTAAGCATTCTTGTGTATTTGATGTAATCAGCTATCTTTACTTTCAATATGCTCCTAAACAACAGCAAGAATTTCACTTAATGAACAGTTGAAAGACTTAGCTGTAAGACCTTTACATTGTAATGCACAAGAAAAAAAAATGATGGGGCTGTGAACAAAAATGTGTTTTCACATTGCTATGTAGTTCCAGTATTTAACATCATGTGTGTTTCTCTCAAACCTTGAGGAATTCCAGGAAGCCAGGTTTGGAGATGCACGTCTTCCTTATCACAGCCATGGCCGTACTGAAATTGTTCACATACTCACTGTAAGCATCTAGCACCATGGACTTTGAGAACTGTGGAGAAACACAGATATTTTAACACTCCAACCACTTGCAGAAGCATAGGGCAGAGACAAGCAAAGTAATTAGTCATTTAATTGTGTGTAAAAAATGTGCATAGACACAAAATCATTATGGTTTACACTTCAAATTTCAGATATTTTTATATAACATGCATTACCTCTGCCAAGGGCAGACACCCTCTCTACTTTGAAGATTATGCTTACAACTTTCCTTTTGATAAAGCTTATACACTGTAGTTAGAGTTGGCTCAGATGAACCATCCCTTAGTTATGCTGTTATAGGCCTAGACACCTCCCATTATGGGGTCAATTTCGGACAAAAACAAAAAGGTGAAGTGAGGAGCAGGCTTTTGGAAGATGAAGTCTTTTGTTTTAAAAACATGTCCATGAGTTGCTAAGCTAAAAACAAGAGGAGGGTAGAGCACGGAGTCTACTATAAGAATATAGAGTGATTGCTATGATCCCGTGAATTTGGGGTTACAACAGGTAATGTAGACTAGGCTTAGCATATGATGAAGAGTTTGTTTAAAACAAAAAAAGGCTTTAAAAATACAGCCCCAGCTTACCGATGCCACAAAGACATCCCCAATCATATCTAGCCTGTCCCACTCTGCTACACGGCTCGCCAGGGCGATCTGGAACAGGAAGTGGCACTGCAGGAGCTCGCGCACACGATAGAAGACCATTTTCAGTTTTCTGTCGCTCAGCAGCCTCGGCTCAATCTGGGACAGGGGCTTCTCATATTGCTAATAAAGCAGACATTGTGAACTGTAAGAATAAACGCTTCCAAATGGAAATGACAATCACTGGAGCCATACTATCATACCTCTAGTATCGTCTTCAATGCATCAAGATAGTTCTTCTCACTTTCCAGTATAGATCTCAATATACATCTTCTCACAAGCTGTAGAGGAAAAATACCAAACCACAGGTCTTCAGGCATTTGCCATGGTTTTCTTTAACAGCACATTCACACAGTAGGAGTTAAATAAATTGGAATAAAAGTTGAAGAGCATGTTCATTACCTGTTGTTGCGATAAGCCCTCTGGTGCTGGACACAGCACTGGCTCAACATTAAAACAGTCCACCTCGATGAAGAGTTCAGACTCCTCATCCTCAAAATAGGCCATCTTCCTCTCTAAAGTTAAGAAGAGAGTGCAACTAAAAATGATTGCAATTAAACAAGCATGTTGAAGGAAAAGGAAAAAGGCTACCCTGACCAAACTATAGTCATTCAGTAAAACACTGAAATTTTCACAATAACACTGACCTAACATACACAGAAGAGCTTAAGGAGGCTGTATACAGGGATTTGTCTATTTATTGCTATGTATAAAGACAAGCTGCCTTTTATGGATTACATACCATTACAGAATGACTTGGTTCTGATGAAAGAGCGTCCCTTCTTCACTGCAGCTTTGGTTTTTTCGAGGCCATCTTTGGTTCCTTCCTTAGCCGCTTTCACCAGCTTTTGCATCTTGAATGAGAAAAAAAACACTATTATCTATAGTGCAAAAATTATTTATACAAACTAGAAATTTTCAACCAAGGTGAAGTTTACCTTACTTTGACTTCTGGCTAAAAGCAGTTAAGCAGGACAGAAGCAGGGTTAGAGTAGGGATGAACATGTATTACAAGCCGCAGGAAAGCAGAGCTGATCAGAGAATGACAACAACTGGGACAAGTAACATTGCTTACATAGCTAATGACTGACTAATGACATTATGAGAGACATTGTAAATGCCACTAACGTTTTCTGTTAAATCAGTGCCTACTATCAAAATAAACCCATGCTGGTGTCTCGGTTTACAACAGAATTTAAGTTTTGCTGAACAGTATATCCTAAGCTATACAATCTCTAGTGTGTAACAAGACCGGCCAATGCAGCACACAGTTAGGCAAATGAATTGTATGCAAACCAAGCACCAGTACCACCACAAGTCATTCACATCAGAGCAGGATGAAGGTACCGAGTCAGTGACAGACAATCAGAGTGGTTAGCTAAACTGAGAGTAAATGGCTGGGACTAGTTGTCTAGCGCAGGCAGGTGAGGTGAGCCTCAGGTAGTTTACCTTCTGCTCGTGCTTCTGTTTTAGCTGCTGCAGCTCAACAGTTCCCAATGTATTTGCCATTAGATCTTTCATCTTTTTTTCATAGTGTTCTTTCAAGTGAGAGAGATCTTGAGAGAGCTAAACAAAAGCAAAGTAACCATTACTGGTTATGGTTTTGGAATAAGCTTGCACTTTAGAGCCACAGTAAGTGACTTTAATCTTGATATGTCTGTTGCTACACTGCTGACTCTGCCCTCCTCCAAAGGTTTCCTTTTCCATTTAAACTCTGCATCAGGGTTTCCAGAGATCATGATCTAATGTTCATGGGCACATTTTCTTACATGCTGCAAAAAGAATTCTTAATTTCTGCCACTAAAACCAGATAGTTTTATAAATGAACCTGTGACTGCAATATAATAACAGGGATAGTTTCTGATTATTATCCCCAGTTACAATACAAACAGTTTTGTTTTATTTGTGCAGCTTTTTGATGAAAATATTTTGACAAATTTCTCAATATATGTGTAAATAAATATTTATCATTGAAATGCATAAATACAGTATAAATGGAAATGAAAAAGCTTTCCAAATACTGAGGCAGTTTTCACCCACCTATTAAGAATGCAAATGGCAGTCATTACTATTTTGAAAGATTTTTTTTCAAAGGTTGTGGTACACTGAAGAAAGTGACGTTGAAATCTCAAAACCACAAGCCAAGGAAGGTTCTGCTAAAGCAAATGGACTGTTGATTGACAGAGCAACAGGAGAGTGATTGTTATACACACATGGGTTTTCCTCTGGGGCAGCTTCCCTCTCATGAAAGCATGGGGCAAGCCGTTCTCAGGGTGACTTTCCCCATCGCTGGCCTCGTCATAGCTTTCAAACTCGCTGGAGCTCCAGCCAGTGTCAAGGGAGCTGTTGCAGCCACCCTCCTCACCAAGCTCCACATCATCATAGATCATCTCATCTGGATCTGTATTACATAAACAGGACAGAGATAGAAAAAACATTTAGAAATATTTCAATTCGTCTATACCCTTAATGACAATTATGAAACACACAAAACAATTTGTACGGTTATTCTAAATCAAATGTTAGCTGCATAAACTTTAACTTTGATCATGTACTGTATATGCAGATAATGTCATGCATTGTAAACTGAAATACTAAACATTACAGCTGTGCCCTGAAAGTCAAATACTCAAATCATCGGTCCAGAGACCCACCAGTTGACTTCTTCTATCAAACCTTGTTTTGTTGGTGCGTGTAAGCCCCTGTGCATTACAATAGAAGATAACCCTGGCCCCCTGTTGTAGTTTGTCATCGTCTTCTTCTCCTCATTTTGGTGTGCCAAGCAGCAATTTGCTCAATACTTCCCCCTGTAGTCAGGGAGGAATGCCCACTTCAACTGAGATAGTGAGAAGCTGACTACTGATGACACTATTTAGTAGAGTGCTGTCCAGAACAAGGAGGAAAAAGACAAAATCCACTAGGACAAGACACATAAGGGTGAGATATGCACTTTATTAGAAGTGTTTTCAAACATTGTGGTCTACTTTTACAAGACTTTAATGGTGGCAAATTGGTTGATTTTGCATATGTGCGCCCGATATGTTTGCCCATCTCCATTTAATTGCAACACACAGCTGTTTACCAAGAGATTCTGCGACATGCATGCATCCAATTGGGATTAGGAAGCTAACAAAAATATCCTGGTTAAAATATTCAATGAGGAATTATAAATAAGAGGAATCAAACATAACAACATGTGTGGGTGGTTAACTGAAAAGAGAAGCTCAAACTTGTTGGTAATCTAGGCTACAACCATGTTTCAGAGGAAAATAATTGCCTATAAGAGCACTGTTTCAACAGAAATACAAGTGTGCTGCCTGTCTCATTAATCTGACAAATCCATATGGCAGCCTAATGATATAACAGGTACATAATAATTCAAGTTCCATTTTTTATAGCAACAAAAAAAAAAAGGCAAAGTGAAAGCAAGCAGCGCTGACAGGCTTAAGGTTACAAACAGGAACTAAGACAGAATTTGTGAAATGAGGGAAAGAAAGAAAAACCTCACAAACCTGTGTTGTAGTCAGAGTTTTCTTTGGGTACGTCATCATAAATCACCTCATCTGGATCTAAAACACAAAACAAACATTCACAAGAGCTAATGCACCATGAATTACACTGTAGTTAGGCCGTTCACACAACAAGCAGGATGTACTGTAAGAGGGATCTAAAAGAAAGCCACACACAGGACTCTGCTTCCTCAAAAGGACAGGGGAGGAAGTATCTGGGAATTCAGCTTTGTCAAAAGAAAAAAAGAGAAATTAGCACCCTGAAGGTATGCATTGTGAGTGCAGAAGCAAATAATTACAACAACACAAGTATTTTCTTTATGAAAATCATACACGCATCTCTATGTGATGAAAGTTTGTTGTGGATATCATTCCTTACTTTCCATCCACGCAGTGTTGGCAGGATCAGACGCCCATTTAGCCAAAACATCCTCTTCTCTAAGTGGTGGATTCTCTACGCTGAAAACACATGAAAAAAGTATAAGCAAACAAAATTGTAGCTCTGCAAATAAATATATGGTATATAACCATTGTCAGAATACCAAGAAATAATTATATATTTTGCTGATTTAATAATATGATATTAATCTATTAATATTATTATTATTATATTATAATAGTATTACCACTGACATCATTATTAAATGTAAGGTATATACTTTTTTGATCGAGAACTGCAACTGTAACTCTAAGAGGGGGTAGGGGAGTATACTTTTCATACCTCTATCAAGACAAATCACTAAATGTACTAAAGGAAAGTTAGAGACATGCTGTACATGTCACACACCTGTCTACAGGGGTGCTGCCTGTCCTGACCACAGTCACTGAAAGAGGAAAGAGGAAAGATTACACAAAGAAAACATACACTACTACACATTTTTCAAGGTAAAATATATATTTTGAAAGTATTTTGTCAAACAAAATACACCATTATCAATATTTATTCTCAGAAATCAGAAAGTGCATGCCTAGCAACTCTGAAAGACCTCACAGTTCCAAGATATCTTTTTTGTTTGTTTCCATATGTCACCACCAGATGTGACCGATGGGTCAATTTCTCCTAGTTTGCTTAAGATTTAGTCAAGATATTTTCTTGAAAATGGGCTGTTCTAAATTTCACTTAATACTTGTACCTGATTTAACATTTTATGATAAGATAAGCCTTCTGTTTTCCTAGCAACATGCCAAGGTAAAAGAGATTACTGTAATAAAGTGCATATTTTCACCAACAGGACACTGAGAAAAAACAACACAACACAAAATCATACATAGTTTTGTACAATATCCCACAAACCTATGAACTTCACAACTCTTTCACTAAAACATCTGAGTATTTCAATCTCGTGACCTTTGTAAGGTAATAACAGAGTATGAAGACTCCTGTGTGCCAGGCCACAGGCTTGGACACAGCTACTGCAAGATTTTAGAGAAGCCGGAAACTCCTCACAGCCGACAGAGATCTTTGGGGAGGGCTAAATTTAGTCTCTACTTCCTTGTGGCAAGGCTTTGGGAAAAACATAAGAATAAAGGAGACAAGACAAAAGTAGCTGAGACAGCATTAACATGCCATAGTCTAAATGCTGAAAACAAAACCATAATCTAAAAAACCTTTTCAAGTATTCTTTATACATATTTTAGAAAGCTGAAAGTGGATAGATGATAAGAAATGAGGGGAGAGCAAGGTTGGAAATGACCACAACAATAAGTCCTCAACTAGATGACTGACATTATGGCATCCTGGATGTTTAAAAAAACATCATATCTAAATATAAACACATCATTATCATTCATGTTTAATGAAATATAATTTAGATATAAAAGTATTTTCTAGATTTCTCCCTTCTGCAGGCTCTGCTTTACCATCCTCATCCACAGAAAGGTGTCGAAAGATGACGGGTGTGGTGTAAGCCGGCGTGATTAGCGGTACACCCGAGGGCGTTGCATAGCCACAGGGTACTGGGACTGAGTATCCTGAAGTGATGCCAACAGGGCCAGTGTGGATATCCAGAGCTTCCCCCTCTGGTTTCATGGGCTCCATTGGTGAGGAGGTGCAGGAGGAGGGACCATGCTGCTGCAGCTCAGCCTGCTGCAGGGAAGTGATGTCAATCACTGAGTAAGGGTTGACTTTGCCCTGGGAGGAGGTGCCAGGAACATCCTGTGGAGAGTGATGGGCATCGATGGATCGGTCTTTGTCTTCAGTGCCTGGTGAGAGAAATCAGGTACTGTCAACTTATCCAATCACAGATACAGCCACACTTAAAGATGGATCAATGAAAAAAGCCCATGTAAGGCACATCACAGAATACATGATCAGCATCCTTATAATTACACAACAATTCATATGATTTTTAATTAGACAACTACAGACACAGAAATTGGCTGTGAAGAGAGTCTTTTTGATGGACACTTCAATATAATAATCTCTCTAAACTGAACCACCCTTGGGTTTTCTGGTTATAACTTGACAAAGTTGGAACCTACAACTTCATCATTAATTCTCTGACCAATTAGCTGTGGAGTTCTGCCAAATAAACATTTTAGACTGCCAAACTAATATTACTTCTATTGCATTTGTCACTGTGTTGCCATTTTATCATTTTAAATTTACATTTTTTTAATTTAATTCAGTAGAACAGTCTATGACTGCTGGTTCAGTTGACTGCATGCACATTAAAAAGTGCCTTCTGTTAATTTAATAAATAAAATGCTTGGTCATGGTTACTGTCAGTGGCATTCACACTGTGTCTATCATGTACTACAAACTAGTCCACACAGGTGGTCCACCTCAAAAAGTCTTGTTTTGAGTATGCTTGTAACCTGTTGATTGTGTTACGGTTTGTGAGGGCGGACCCCAGAGGAAGACACAGAGACCAGAGGAGTGGGAACCAAAGAAAGCAGTTTTAATAAACAAAACACAGGTATTCAGGATGGCAGACAGACAAGCAGGCTCCGGGCAAGCAGGACAAGCACAGGACAACTGAGGACAGGTAAGGCGAGGAACAAGGAGGACGGGCAGGCGAGCCGGCAGCAGGAAGGACACAGGAACCAGAGGACGGGCAGGCGAGCCGGCAGCAGGAAGGACACAGGAACCAGAACATCAGGATGACAGGTGAGTAGACTAATCACACCATTGGAGCACTCGCTCGACAGCACAGCAGGCAAGCAGGTTACTCACAACACACTGGCGCAGCTCGAAGGAGGTCAGGAGTTGAGCACACTGGAGAAGCTTGTTGGAAGTTTGGCGTTACGGCGGGTAACAGGCAGATGCCACGCTCACGGCACACCAGACATTCAAAGAGTCAAGGGTTCAGATGGGTGGAAAATAACAGGAGGTAAACTAACAGTATTCAGGTGCCGCTCGTAGCGAGACGATCAGGAAAAGAAAAAAACTCAGCTAAATGGCAGGCGACGAACAGAAAGCACACTGGAGAAGCTTGTTGGAAGTTTGGCGTTACGGCGGGTAACAGGCAGATGCCACGCTCACGGCACACCAGACATTCAAAGAGTCAAGGGTTCAGATGGGTGGAAAATAACAGGAGGTAAACTAACAGTATTCAGGTGCCGCTCGTAGCGAGACGATCAGGAAAAGAAAAAAACTCAGCTAAATGGCAGGCGACGAACAGAAAATAAATCGAGAGTCCAGAGTGGATAATGCAAACATGAAACTAACCAAAGCCCAGCGCAACCAGAGAGCACTAATCCAGCGTGAACACAGAAACATTGAGGAGCGAACTCAGGGCGTGTGAACATTAATGATCCAGCAAACAAACAGAGGGAAACAGGGTGTATGAATATGGGGCAGGACCGGGACATAACGAGTAGCAGCTGTAAACAATAAATGCTGATGAGCTGGGGTAAAGCTGGGGCAAAGCTGGGGCATGTGAACTGAAAGAAACTGGAAGCCAACCACGAAAAATAAAAGCACCAAACAGGCAGTGCCACCCAAACCACAACAGATTGTCACTTGCCTGAGTTCAGTTTGAGCCTCACTTTTTAAAGAACTTTGGTTGAGGGTTAGGTTAATGTTGACATTACATATGCAGAGGTAATTTGATGAATTTTGGGAGTTAGAAATGTGTTATAAAATAAAGGAGGTTGCTTATGATAGAGATACAAGGCATATGTGTGTGGTTTCAAATTATGCACATTTTATAAAGCTGAAAAATTAGTGGACATAACTTCGCTACAGTGCTACTGAATGAGTGAGTGCTGCTGCTGTCATAACCTTCAGTGATAAAAGCCGGACAACCCCCAGCAACAGGCAGCCAGAGATACAAGGTATCATGAGAGAGACAGACTGCCCCACTTTATCCTGAGATGAAGGGGCTGGATTAGAGCCAAATAATGTATGCAAGCACGATGAGAGAATGTGAAGAATTTTTGATCACTGCCAGAAAAAAGCTCACCTATTCAAGGCAATTTCCAAATGAAACTAGTGCGGAGAACTCTCCGCCCTAGTGAACAGATAAAATGGCCACGAATACTCTCAAGTTCCATACAGCCAACAATAAAATGCCAAAGCTTTTGAGTTGCAAACCTGTGTTTCTGGGATCTGCTTCTGTGTTAAGAGGAAGGGGTGGGGGTGGAGGTGGCGGTAAATCTGCCTCTGTGTCAAAATTCCCCTGAGCAGCAGATGCCCACTCTCCTTTTGCTGCTCCATCTGCTGCGACGGATCTGCTTGCAGCAACTGCTGTGTTTGCTGATGATGGAGAGGAAGGTGCTGGGGGGTCTGGGCTGGGGAGATGGCCCAGGGGATAAGTGGTGGCTACCAAGTTTTCCTGGCTCTGAACCATGCAGCTGGGGAATAATGGAGCTGGAGGTGCAGTGAGTGGGTGATTAGCCTCAGGAACATCATCACCGCCATCATCAAAGTCAAAGACCTCCCCCTTGTCTTCACCTGCAAAGGAGACACTGTCTGCCAACACTGAAAACAGAGACAGGGTTCAGAGATATTGAGTGCTGGATTTTATTACTGATACAGAAAATATATAAGAGTTGGGCAGTATGACAGTATATACCATAAGATGACAATGATCTCTGCTGTGTTTAAATTTTGTATGTCATACATTATTTATTTGACTGGGTTAGCAACAAACATGCAGCATAATATTTTCAAGAAAACATACCACACTGAGACACACACTGTTATCACAATTGAAATATAAAATGGGAGAGGATTTACAGTATAGAGAGGATTTACAGTATATCACCCAGCCCAGGTGGAAGTTGAAATATATCAACAGATGAAAATTCAGTTGCTACAGTAGAAGAAATGTGTGTATGTGTAATTACAGAAGTGTCCAAAGGCAGCATTTGCTTTGTACCAAATACCAACTAAGGTTTCCTTCACAAATCACTCTAAGTACTTAAGGGTCATTCACAACAATGGGTATTGACTGAAACAATTATACTGCTTAAGTTATAGTATGAAACATCAAGCAAACTACACACAAAGCACTACTATCTGAACTTCTAAAAAGTTTGTCTACTTCAAAAATCATATAAGTATAGCCTTTATACAAAAATAATGCTTATATTAGTTCAGACTAGCAAAATCATACCACACTGAATGTTCTTATCAATTTAGGAAAACACAAGTTCAATTTAGATAGGGTTTAAGTCAGTGATCGTCACTCAAAGGTCACTTTAGAGACCACTGACAGATACACTGTGGCTGGTAGTTCTAGTCCTTGGGCTGTACAAGTTAAAGTACTGAGCCACATACAGTACACACAATTAAGGGTGCGGTTTACTAAAGCAGCATATTTTCTGACAGAATGTCAAGGATTCGCACCAAAACAGCACATCAGCTGCTCCTTATGGCAAAAACAATCTAGAGCAGAGCTGTAAAGGTTTCACGTTTACATCAGAATGAACACTGTGGCAGACAGGAAGGGAGCAACAAATGTCTTTCCAGTTTCCACACTGCAATTAGGGCAGCAGGAAAGAGAGCTGTTACTCTCTACCGTCAGAAGTACACCCTGAGTTTATGCATTCTTTGTGATCTGATGAATACTGTGAGGGCCTGAGTAAGTGAATCTCAAAGAGCAAGAACAGTAAAAGAATTAGGAATGCACATGCTCAAATTTCATCAGCTAGTTTCATGTTTTAGCCATAAGAGCTGAATGTTAAATCAATGCAGTTGAGAGTACTGAGTAAGAAAAAAAAAAAAAAGCCAAAACCACAGAGCCTGAATAGGGGTTATGCGCAACTTACTTCCGTATACTGCAAAACAGAATCATCTGTTTCCGGTTTGCGACTAGTATGAAATATGGCACTGTTCTACTCAAGATGTCTCCAAGAACTACCAAAGATGAAGATCACGGATGTACACCGAATATGCAGTTCGACGTCTAAAACACCGGGCAGCAAGCTGGATAAGGGGTTTAAGCTATATGCTTCTTCATACATCCACGACTACGAAGGTAGAGTTATGTATCGGTTATCTTACAAACGGAGATGTAGCTAAGCTAGTTCGTAAGCTAACTAGCTAATGTTATCGATATTTACACCGAGCATCTGTCAGGTACACCAAAATAATGTAATACACTACCGGAAAACTAATAGTAACCAAGCTTGTGTAGTGGAAATGCTAAATTTATTATGGCTAGCGACAGACCTGTGCTGTTACATTGATAACCCAATATACAGTGGGGCAAAAAAGTATTTAGTCAGCCACCAATTGTGCAAGTTCTCCCACTTAAAAAGATGAGAGAGGCCTGTAATTTACATCATAGGTATACTTCAACTATGAGAGACAGAATGAGAAAAACAAATCCAGAAAATCACATTGTCTGATTTTTAAAGAATTTATTTGCAAATTATGGTGGAAAATATGTATTTGGTCACCTACAAACAAGCAAGATTTCTGGCTTTTTTGCCCCACTGTATTTTTCAACAGTATCAAATAAAGACACAGCGACAGGTGCTGTCAGCATCAGAGCATCATGTCACAGGTCTGTGAAGAAAAACGAGAAGCCCGATAGCCTGAAAGTAATGTTGGTGAATGGTTGGCTTTTCTGTTTGTCCCCAGTGTGTTCCAGTTAAGGGACAATATGAATATGATCTTGAACATGCTCCTTTGACTATCCAGTCACAATGTTCTAGAGCTGTCATATTATGACATGTGTTGGACTCAATTCTACACATGCTTGGTAAATGCATGCCACGTTCATTTATGCCGTTTGGCTACTTT